CAAACACAATATTTCAGTTGTTCCTAGCCACTTTTTGACAAGAATTTATTTTTGGTCCCTGAGGTAGTTTTTTTTGAACAGTAAGTTTTTTGTTTGCACAATTGGACTTCCAATAAAACATTTTCTTTAAAACAATCCTTTTAAACAGATAAAACTGTGTATCACAAGTAAAGAACTTTGGTGCGACACTCTGGGTAACAAGTTGTAACAGTAAAACTTATTTTCACAAATATTTTAACTTGGAAAAATAAAAACTATGGAATAAGGAATGGCCCCAGCGAGACAATGAAATTAAAGGAATAGTTCACTGATTTTACATAATAAGATATGTTCTTACCTTAGCTTTGACGAGTTGATGTGTACCAGTCTTGTCTTTGTGCGTGCCCTCAGTCATGCAAATGGAGCAAAGCCTCTCCCATATATTCCAAATACCTCCACTTTTTGCTCCTTTTAGAAGCTACCGAGCTCCCCCACGTTTTCCCTATTTATGTAAAATTACATGAAAAGTGACACTCTCAAAGTTTAGTTTAACTAAATTTAACGTGTGGATTTTCTAAGCCGATAAGAAGGGATACTATATTACAAGGTGTAATAACACTGTAGGAGCACTTCTTCATCCCCCCAGTAACTCAGTCTATGCTCCAGAGTGCACTAGGGTTACTGCGCGCTTGTAATATAGTGCCCCTTTTCATCGGCTTAAAAAATCTATACGTTAAATTTAGTGAAACTAAACTTAGATAGTGTAACTTTTCATGTAATTTTACATAAATAGGGAAAACGTGGAGGAGCTCGGTAGCTTCTAAAAGGAGCAAAAAGTGGAGGTAGTTGGAATATATGGGAGAGCCTTTCTCTCGCACAAAGACAAGACAAGTATGCATTAACTCTTCAAAGCTAAGGTAAGAACATATCTCAGTATGTAAAATCAGTGAACTACTCCTTTAAGCCCTGGTTTTGCCATCCACTAAAAACAAAAAAAGACAATTACAAACACAATAATGACTTCCTGAACTTGAGAAAAAGCTGCTCAATGAAGAGTGAACATTCAATGTATCTATGCACACGTTGAAAGCTCATTTTTTAGCCTTTGGAGTTTTGGAGGAGGATTGTTTCGTCCCAGATTCAGCATAATCTGCTGGATAAACAGGAATGTATTCTTCATGCACTTTGGGTACTCCAAGTGGAGTGCATAAGTCAGTCCAAACAGGAGACACATTGCCAAAGGAAGACTGCAGATGGAATCCATTACCACATTGCCCTCTAGAAGGATCCCCAGCTGGGAGGGGTTCAGTTCTTGCTCTGGACTTCCGTTTTCACCATTGAAGATGATTCCTATTGGGATTTCAAGGTCACCATCAGCAGCATTCTACAGAGGGGGGGGGGGGGGAGGGGGGGGGGAACTGTGAGTTAACCTGTTGGTGGAGAGTAACACAAGTATAAAAGGTCAAAGTATTGTATTTCTATAAATGCTGTTTATTATTTAAGTACAAGTTAATTGTTCAAATAAAAAAAAAAAACAGGAAAATTTGGGGAATCTGTAAGGCTTATTGTCATTATACAACTGTCAGCTCTGTATGGCGCTGCAGCGACGCACATGTTAATAAAGTAAACTTTACGAGAGGCCGTACAGGTGCAGAGGAGCGGTGTTCAGCCCCTCGAGCCTCAGCGAGGGGCTGAGCACCAGAGCGCGGCTGTGCAGAGAATAATGACAGGTTTATTTGTCCGTGTGAACGGCTGGAGGTGCCCGGCCGTGCTCTGGTCCTCCTCCTCTGACCGGGGCCGGAGTCCGGGGCCGGAGTCCGGACCCGGGCTAACCCTGAACACGGTTTGGATGTGCTCACATCACACAATGGAACCGCGCGGTTTGGATGGACGAGGAAGATGCTAGAACCATTACGCATGAGCAGGGGTTAAGGCTGTGAGGGTTACAGCCTTAAAACATTTATAATAAATACTTTTCACTACTTTGCGGATTTCACTTATTGCGGGTTGTTTTTGGGACGTAACCCCCGCGGTAAACGAGGGTTCACTGTAGATTGAATTAGCGTGCACATTTGCGTAATGTAACATGCAACTATTTTTGCTTAAAGTTGAAATACAAAGATTTAACTCACCAGTTTGCGTGGAGGTTTGAGGAAAAGTACTCCCTATCGACTGTAGACTGAAACAAACATGTCCAATCCCAGGCAAAACCACCAAAAACGACTTGTCTTAATTTTTCCTGACAAACAAGTCCAGACGTCTCTTCGGTTCCAGTGCCGGGAAAAATATGGGAGGGGCAACAAAAACTTAAAAATAGTGAAAGTGCTTTAAAACTAAACATGATCAGTAAACATCAAATTTACTTTTATTATTTGAGTGTTGAGTTTAAAACTTATTCTCTTATAAAAAATTGAACTTAAACTATTTATTAGAATAAACTTAAAATAGAAAGGACCATGTTAAATGTATTCATTTTAGTGCATCACATGCAAAACAATATAGGTTAAGTGCAAAAAGCTTCCACCAATGAGTTCTGTCTGACACAGTTATATGATTTTAGTTTTACAAAGAAAATTAATTACCATCAGTGATTATAGCTAAACCATTTGAATGCAAATAACTTTTGGGATTACAGTGTAGGCCACTTAAAAAGAGTTTCTGATTTCTGCTGCCCTCTTGGCCAGATTACTCTTAAAAAAAGACATTTTTAATGTCAACAAGATTTTTTTAATCTTACTTATGTCTTGTAAACCTTTCCCTTTTACTCTTGCTGTCATTCTTCTGGCACAAATCATTGCTGACACTCGTCTCCACCCATTCCACCCTACCTTTCACTTCTTCTATGCAAATATGATCCAGTCAGTATGCTTTCTCATTTAATTTGCAGGAAGAATGTCATTACATAAACTGACAAGACTGTGTAACATTTTTAAATGTTGATAAAGAAATACGATCTGGTTGAGATATTCCATGTGTTTGTCAAAGCACTCATTAAAAATAATCGAGAATGACCAACATCAGTCTAAAATAAGTGTGTGTAAACAAATGGAAGCATTACCATTATTCAGTCTTTACAAAACGTCTTTAAAAGGCTGAATCAGACATGAAATTTATAAGAACACTTAACTACGCACTTCTGTACCTGTGTACGGGAAACCTTTTATTCTACCCAGGATAAAGAATCAGAGCTGCAAAAGTTCCGCTGTGAAACAACGTAACTGTGAAAAGGACACAAAAAAATCGAAAGAAACACGATCCTGAGATCAGACTGCGATCCAAAATGTAATAGCTTTTCTTGCCTTCAAATAAACCACAACATAATAGAAGCAACAAAAACATCTGCACATTTGATTTATCCTTCACGTTGCGGAGGTATAGAGACATCGGAGCATGTGTCCCGAAGGAAGTCCTCTAATGCGCGTATCGAGCCAGGCTTCTTTACAGCCGAGTGACCTCAGTGACGGCGTTTGAAGCCTCGCTGATTCAGAAAGTGTTATAACGAGAAGGTTTTGTTTTAATTTCAAGTTGATGTGTTGTGAGGTGGGGTACAGGATCAACACCTCCTGATCTTATGGGTATCATTATTATAGACAGGCTTGCTGTGGGTTACTTGTACCCACCTGCCTCCTCAGTATCATGTAAAATGGGTTTCTCCAAATAAGGGAGGTTATTACCAAAAGAGAAAGTGAATCAAGCACATTGGAAAAATTATTTTAATAAAATTGATAGATGTCAGCATCAGCCGAGTATTCCTAAGCACAATCACTGTCCCATTGTTAGAAAACACTGCACTGGTTTTAACATAAACATCTCATGTCCTAAGAAATAACTAGCTGAAACACAGACAGGTTTTTTGACATTGGTAGACCTCTATTACCATTACCTACACATTATTCAAAGTTTCGATGAATGAATGAACCACAAAAATATTAAATTTTTATTTTTGTTCTTGGTAGTGTTTCGTCCCTTCCTGACACTGTTGTAAGAAATCCTTAAGGCCATGTTGGATGATTGAAATGAGAGTAAAACTTTTGACCAGCCTCGAGAAATGAACCTTTTTTAAGAGAATTTTATTATGACCTATGAGGCATCCAGCAAAGATAATTCAAATGATGAAGATCATTTGCTGCCACACTACTTTAATTTTTCAATCATATTTTAATCCTCTGTAGATGTTGAAGTTAACCCTGTTACACACTACTCAAATCTTTCCATTAAATTGATTTTTAATATTATTTATATACATGAATCCTTGTAATCAAGGTGTAGTTCTGTTTTCTAAAGTATTTGTATATGTATATGGTTTAATGAAAAAGTATTTTTACTTTGGATGCTGAAAGTAAAATTGTCTCTCTGTAAGTCTCAGCACACCACTGGGTTACAGTAACTCCTGAATCTAACATGTAGACCAAAAGAATTGAATAGAAATTAAAGTTCCAACTAAATAAAATTTTAACCAGAGAAAACAAGTGTTTCTCTGGTGGATATTCCTTATTAATAGATCACTAAAGGTTGCCAGGAGTTCATTCAGGAGTTCACTGTGTCTCTTATTGTTTCTCTTACTGTTAAGAGACCAATAAATGAACCTGTTCACCATTTTAACTAATTATTGTTATGCATCCAGTCATGATAAATACAAGAAGACAACAAGAGAGTGTATGGATCTTAATAGTTTCTGACGTTTTGTTGTTGTTGTTTTTTTTTTAAACTTCAACATCAAACAATCGTAAAAAGATTAGATTAAAAAAAAGTGTGTGTGTGTGTGTGTGTGTGTGTGTGTGTGTGTGTGTGTGTGTGTGTGTGTGTGTGTGTGTGTGTACACATTATTATTCCAGAGTGCATTTCAGATCAAACGGACAAAATGAAAAAAAGGACAAGTAAAGACAAATATTTTCAGGTTTTAAATGAATTCAGAAATAATTGTCTAATATGTACAACACTGCAGAAAAAATGTAACAATAAACAAGCCTCTGAATGCTGCTACCGCTCTGTTGTTGAAACAGCTTCTGTGAATCGCTCACCTTTCTTTTTGTAAACAACTAATCCAACAGCAGCAATTAGCATGACCACAGCACCCACTGCAACAATGATGGGGATGGGCGTGTCAAAGTGCGACTCTCCTGAAGAACAAACAAAACAGCAGGTTAGAACAGAAGTGCATCCATCCACCTATAATGTTCAACTAGTTAGTCTATGAATCACATGCTGCTGAAGGGAAGTGAAAATACACTGTACTGCGTGTCTATTGATGTGACCATACACACTATTCACTACCTGCACATACAGTAGATGCAGAACACTTGTATTATTTGCCCTTTAAAGATGTTACAGTAGCTCTGTATTTCTGTCTGAAAAACACCTGTAAATGCATTCAGTAACAGCCCTCCGGTTGCAAGGCTAAAAAAAATAACCGAGGGTTTAATGGATTAAACACATTTTGTTGAACTAGTAAATATAAAAGTTCCAAAATGGCTATCAGAGTTTTATGGTCTAAATAGTGAAAGTTTGGGAATGTTGACAGCAGTAACAGCTCAACTATTTGAAACAAGAGAAAAAAATAAAAGCACTGAAAAATTATTGTTTTTTGTTTCTGTTAGTGTCTCCATTGGGTATTCTCACAGTAACCATAGTAACAGCTATTCTTATTCTTCTTGTAGATCCACTGTATCAGTAATGAAAATGAATTACCTGATTTTCTTTTAGATTCATCGTTACCATTTGTGGTTTTACCCCAGTTGGTTCTGATCTCTGTTTTATTCAGTGTGGTGCTGTTCTCAACATCAGAGAGCTGAAACACACACTCGTATCTTCTCCAGTCTTCGGGTGTGAGTGATGAAATATTCAGGCAAATACTCAGCTGGAAGGTCCCATCATTGTTGGGGAGGATCTCTCCTATCGCTACACCTTCATGAAGCTTATCTCCATCTTTCTTCCAGAACATCTCAGCTCTGTCAGGATAGAAACCTGTAGCATGGCAGCTGACTGGAGAGGAGGGATTCTTCTGGATAAGAGACACTGACGGAAGAACTGGAGAGAGGGAAGGTGGGAAAAAGAGATGGAAACAAAAGGACAATCGATGGAAGAGAAACAGAAAAATGGCAAAGAAAGAAATTTAATAGGGAGATATGAACAAAAAACATTGATATCAAACTCACACAACACATCTAGGAGGCTCAGTGGCACTGGCATTTTAAAGATGTTAGGAGGCTAGAAGAATAAAGAAAAATGTCTTGTGGTGCAAGTAAAAAAAGTCTACAAAATAAATCATGTATATCATTTTAGCTTCAGTTTGTGATTTGTTTGTAACCTTGTACTTTTTTTTATAATTAGTTGTTTGTTCTCTGCCCCACTCTCTGGGTTCACATATGCCTTGTGTGTGTGAATAAATACTGTGTAGCCACTAAACTTTATAAGCTCATGTGATTCTACCTTTTGTCTGTGGGAAGCTTTTCTCATACTCCACATACAGCTTCAGATACTCTGGACAAATCTTGGTGAGGTCATTTTCTTTGTGTTTTATTCCAGGTTGGTCAGTATCCCATTTCAGTTTGGTAACATCAGCCTCTGGTTTCAGTGCGATCCATTTCCCTTTCTCCAGATCAAATTTAAGGAAGTCTTCTCCGTTATAATGATACTGTGTCATACCAATAACCTCCCCAGTGGTTTCATCCAATTCACAGCCATCTATCCTCTGTAAAATGTGGACACCTGAGGAGAGAAAGGAAGAATACATTTCAATGAACAATTTTAATACTGTCATTTGTGTAAGGCTCTATTGTTCTCCAAGCATTAGTTTGTTTTGTGATTCAAGTCACACTATCTGAGAACTTTTTATTAGTATAACTAATGGAAGCTAATTGAAATGCTACAGAACTTATAAATGAACCTGATTAATCAAGTTTATGAGAAAAAAGATGGACGACAAGAATAAAACTGATTTAATTCAGAGTATACTCCACAGCCAGCAAGTACGACACAGCCAGGCTTTCTTTGTGAGACCCAACGGTATCACAAAAGTGGTTATCATCTTTCTCTGTTAAGCTGGGCTTCCTGGTTCAGGCTCTGTGTGTGCTCATATTAAAAAAGGCATTTCACAGGTCTAGGGTCAAATGGTGGAGAGTCCCAGATATAAACCTAGTGGGAGTAACCCCCCACAGAGGGACAAAAGGACCCCCTGATGATCTCGCCTGAGCCAAGGTGTGAAATTGGGTGTGGGTCCCAATCAGCCAGAGTTTCGGGTGTGTTCATTGTGAAACCTGGCCCCACCTTATCATGCGAATTCCTGAGATCAGATGGCCCAGGATGTGAGTGGGCGTTAAGGCGTCTGGGAAGGGATCTCAAAACTGGATTATAGATGGCAGACAGTTGGTGTCGTAAACCCCCGCCTCTGTTCAAAGATGGTCGCTCACAGTGGACATAGATGGCTTCTTTCACTCCTCTTTCAAACCATCTGTCCTCTCTGTCCAAAATGTGAACATTGGCATCCTCGAAAGAGTGTCCTTTATCCTTAAGATGCAGATGGACTGCTGAGTCTTGTCCTGTGGAGGACAGGACAAGACTGTGGAGGACAGGACAAGACTCAGCAGTCCATCTGCATCTTAAGGATAAAGGACACCCAGTTTCACACCTTGGGTCAGGCGATTAGAGGATGATCAGGGGGTCCTTTTGTCCCTCTGTGGGGGTTACTCCCACTAGGTTTATATCTGGGACTCTCCACCATTTGACCTTAGAACTGAAGAAGCTTCTCGGATGAGAGGTGAAACGTCTTCAAGTAACTTAAAGAAGTCCAGACGCTTTTCTTTGCAAGCTCCTTTGGTTATGGCTGAGTGTGCTCTAGGTTCTGCTATGAATCTGTGAGGTGACGGCTGTGCATTTAAACTGGGTCCATTTAAAAATAAAAGATTACACTCACAGTCTAAAGGAGATGTGGAATCTCTTTAGTTTCTCAGCAGAAAGGTAAAATTGATTCATTTCATTGATGGAACAGCTATTTTTGATGTGTGGTCTGTGTTATAGTAGATTTAATTCCAGAACTTTAAATGACTAATAAGAAGTATTACAACATCTATATATATTTTTTGCACCACCAAATGAGTACATATGCATTCCTGTGACTATGCAACATAAAGTTTGCACTACTGTAACTGGACAGCTGCACTTCATTCATTATTTTGCTTTGTAATATTACCCCTTTGGAGCTGTCTGACAACTAGGCTATAAATTCTAAGAAACTGAAAAACCGTTGCAAAATAAAACATTTTAAAGACAAAATCTAAACGTCTCTGTCCTTAACCTCCTAGGACCTGGCGATGTGATGTGATGAAAATGTGATGTCCACATATGTGGACATCACATTTTGGGTTATTTAGACCAAAATACTCAATTTTGCTCTACAGGGGCCTGATATCCACTTACGAAGACATTATACTGCAACTGTTCTATCAAAATTTTAAATGAATATCCTCATATGTGGCTCTCATTTTTCTTAAAAACAAAAATAAGGTAAAAAAAAATTCTGGTAATTCTTTGTTTTTACATTCATCGGGCCCCAATATGCCCAAATATCAAAGAGAAATTAAAAATGCATACCATTGAAGAGTTCGGGTCTTATGAGGTTAAAGTAAGAAGTTTTTGTATATTCAATGTTTCATTATCATTTAGGGTAAGGTATAACAGAAATACTGCACCTTCACTTTGATTGAACTGCTGTTTCAAACTAGAAATCAGCTCTCTGAAGAAGTTTGGCTGATCCTCAAAACACTTGTGCTTGTACCAGTCCAGTTGCTCAGGGTGTTTTTTTAAAATGTTCTTCGCCCACTCCTGTCTTGGTTCCAATATCTTCTTGCTCACGTCACAGTAACCCATCTGAACGCCATCAACCATCAGCACACCAACGAATTCTGGGATGTTCAGAACTCCAGAGGATCCAGTGATAAAATAGTTCAGCGAGTGTTTCACTGTAGGACAATGTTTATAATGGTAGCAATTAATTCAGATGCACAAAAAGTATCAGAAATACAGGGAGTGCAGAATTATTAGGCAAATGAGTATTTTGTCCACATCATCCTCTTCATGCATGTTGTCTTACTCCAAGCTGTATAGGCTCGAAAGCCTACTACCAATTAAGCATATTAGGTGATGTGCATCTCTTTAATGAGAAGGGGTGTGGTCTAATGACATCAACACCCTATATCAGGTGTGCATAATTATTAGGCAACGTCCTTTCCTTTGGCAAAATGGGTCAAAAGAAGGACTTGACAGGCTCAGAAAAGTCAAAAATAGTGAGATATCTTGCAGAGGGATGCAGCAGTCTCAAAATTGCAAAGCTTCTGAAGCGTGATCATCGAACAATCAAGCGTTTCATTCAAAATAGTCAACAGCGTCGCAAGAAGCGTGTGGAAAAACCAAGGCGCAAAATAACTGCCCATGAACTGAGAAAAGTCAAGCGTGCAGCTGCCAAGATGCCACTTGCCACCAGTTTGGCCATATTTCAGAGCTGCAACATCACTGGAGTGCCCAAAAGCACAAGGTGTGCAATACTCAGAGACATGGCCAAGGTAAGAAAGGCTGAAAGACGACCACCACTGAACAAGACGCACAAGCTGAAACGTCAAGACTGGGCCAAGAAATATCTCAAGACTGGTTTTTCTAAGGTTTTATGGGCTGATGAAATGAGAGTGAGTCTTGATGGGCCAGATGGATGGGCCCGTGGCTGGATTGGTAAAGGGCAGAGAGCTCCAATGAGTTTTTTGGGTTCATTGAGAACATGGTTGTTGTTCAATAATAAAATTATTCCTCAAAAATACAACTTGCCTAATAATTCTGCACTCCCTGTATAATTCATTTAGTTATCCAGGCTGCATCCTTTCTCTCGCCCAGTGACAGATCAGATAGACTACTAGATTATTCAGTCAAAAAAATCTCATTTAATCTGCACTAACAGAGACAGAAGGCTCTACAGCAGGACTGTGCAGCTTTTAATTTATATTTTGACAAAGATTTGGGGCTAAAGGACCAATGTGGCTGAAACGCATTGCATGTGCAAATTATCAAGAATGTCCAAAACTATTAATATTCAACCTAAATCTTAAAAAAAAAAACTTATTTAATAGGTCACATCTGACATGAATAGAATAGTTACCTTTTACCAAACGAATGTAAAATGAGATTTAAAGCAACTCCTACCCAGTGCAAACATGTAAAAAACTTTGCAGTTCTAAAGGTATAGATTGCAAACTATCTCCTACACGTGGTCAGCAATAGAGTCACAGCAGCGGTGACAATGAAATTCAGTTGTCAAAGTATACCTGATAAAACATGGATCTTTTAAATTCTAGAAAATAAATATAAAAACTGAGTTTACAACATTCGGGCTAAAAGAGCTTTAAAGTGAAACAAAGCAAAAACTCAGCTTTAGGTCAGATGACTCTGCTGTCAGAGCTCAAAGGTTTAATGTTTTTTTCTTACCTGCGAATGAGCCATAGCACAGAAGAATCAACAAAAACATCTTTTCTTTAGCCATAATGTTGCTCTTGTTCCGTCTAACATGTAAAGACCTTTGAGGTTTGTTTAACTTAAGCAGCTATTGCAGCATCTACTCCTGATTTCTGCTCCTAATAATCTGCCTGCACTCGCCCACTTTCCCACATGCCTGTACCTGTATTAGTCTGATATAAACTGCTTCTTTAGAACACAGAATTGGAAGGATCAGTTTTGTTGTAACACACTGAGAGCAGGGTCACAAAATACTTAAAAAACAGTGTCTCTTTATGATATTCTGATTTTCTTCTAATTATGTTCTTTCAGCTGTTCATGTGTCTATGGTTTGTTTAGCATGTATGTATTTTATTTGAGTTATTTTCATAAATTCAAGATTCAGTTTATATTTAAAGAGTGTACATGACCTGCTGTTCAGATAAATAGGTAAATAATGTTTTGATTTATGAATAGTTGTAACAATGATAATAGCCTGATAATAGCCACTGGCTATCAGCAGTCCACAGGGATTTGTCTGCAGAGGAGCAGAGCTCAGCCAGTCTTCTTCCTGCTGATTAGCCAGCTCAGTCTGGCCTTTAAAAAGGCTTCAAAATAAAAAGGCTTTCATGGAAATTTCAGACCTTGTTTTTTTCCATTTTAAAAGCTGTTTTTATTAAGCCATCTGTCTTTTTTAAATTTAAATATATTCTGATCTGTCTGCACTTCCCATCTTGCCTCTACCTGCCTCCAGTGCATCCCAGTTTCACATTTTGTCACATTAAAGCATTGTTAAAAAACGCATTAAATCGATTTTTTTTACCTTAAAGTTCTGCATACAATACCCCATAGTGTAAAAATGAGAAACATTTGCTTAAAATTCTTGCAAACCTAGTTGAAGTCTCAAGTCTTGTTGAGTCCTTAAGGTGTTTTGAGCATGATGTTACAAGCTTGGCGCACCTATTTTGGGGCATTTTCTCCCATTCTTCTTTCAGGATCTCTTCAGCTCCCTCAGGTTAGGGGAGTGTCAGTTATTCTTTAACCCCTCAACAACTAGTGTCTCATATTACACAAACACAGTTTTTCTGAGTTTTTGAGACTTCTGATTTAATGACCAAGTTTCTCTGTAATGCGGAAACAGAGCACGCTGTGGATTAGACCATACCAGCTTCAGCTCATTGATCTCAAACACCCTCTTCTCCACACAATAAACTGCTCTACAAGTACAATTTGTGTGTGTTGGCTCATTGGCAAGAGTTCACTGCTCCATCACTTAGTGCTGCTTCATCTACAGTGCATTTATGGTTCAGAGAGCGTGACACATTTGCAGTCTGCTCCAATCCAGGGACTGCCCGTCTGCCTGCAGTGAGCTGTGTTGCCAGATGGGGGCAGTCTACAGACTACATGGTAAATTCTATTTGGATTAAGAATTATATCATTACAAATCATTGAACTCCATCCAAGCCTCAGTTTTCATCTTTATCACCAACAGCTCCTAGATTGCAGGGGGGCATCTTGTCCTAAATCCTCTCACCCCTGCAATTCTGTTCTGCCATGATGGTTCATCTCAGTCTATTTGCTAAATACATTCATTTCTCTATCACAATAAATCATGTTCAGTTTTTCCACGTGATCTCTTTTTCTTGAACTTTAGTTGATGAGATATTCAAAACCTTCACAATTTTGAGAAACAGAATTTTGAAATTATTCTGTAGAATTTATAAAAACAGTTTTTAAGTGATTGGTGAACCTCTGTCCGTCTATATCTCTGAGGAAGTCTGCCTCAGTCAGTCCACTTTTATGCTCGCCACATCACTTTGTGACAGGGAATCAGAGAAGTTCAGAACATGCAGAGTGGTCAAAAAGCATGCTCGAGATAAGTACCTCAAAGAGGTCTTGGATCAGCAGACCAGACAGCGTTCATGGGCTCATTATAAACTACACGCAGTAAACAGAAAAGTGAAAAGGCTGTAAAATTGCCGTAAGCATTTATACAGTGTGTACAAAGTGTAATTTTCCGGTTGAGCTTTAATCAATGCCTCCGCAGTGACGCCTTCTGGGAAAGAGCTTAATTACATGCATATGATCGGCTGCCTCGTTCACCTACAGCAGTGCCGAGGACACTTAACCACGCATGTGACATTTTGTGTGCATTTATAAAGAAATGATCACATATGCACTTACTGCATAAAAAACCCACACAATGTCCAAATATTTGTTATGTTCTAAAAGAGAAAAAAGCTCTTTAAAAAAAAATCTAAAGTTCACACAACACAAAACACGTTTGTTGATCAGTGTCTGATATGTGGATTTAAGGCCTAACATCAACAATTAACCTGTTCTACAAAATTGTTTTTAATTGAGACAATTTTTTTTCTTAAAAATATATCAGGGGCGTTCATTTCTCTACGATGATAAACATCTTTCTGTCTTTTTTACTTTTTTAGAAAATTGAACAAAAATTAATAAGGTTGTGTATTTGCAGTTTAGCCCTTAATGCTTCTAAAAACATTTTAATAGCGCTTTAAAAAAAAGTCAATAAAGAAAACAAATACAGTAGTTAAGAGATTTATCATTTTTATTTATTTGTATTTTAATGAAAAATGACTGAAAACCATTTTTATGTGAGCAACAAAACACAGGACAGTATCCCCCCCAAAAATCCCTGATTTCTGTCACATTTTTATGCTTTGAGTTTTCTGGCTGATGATTATCACTAAATTTTGAAAATGATTGCGAGGCCGTCATATTTGACATTAAGTTGAATAAAATAATTATCAAGGCAGCCAGAAGGGGCATAATTGCATCTCATCTGCATATCATTATTGAGATACACACTCGTGACACAGATATACACTCATAACATTTTGGTAAATATTGGGGGTGGGGGAATCATAAATTCATTTTATTGGAAAATAAAACAACTTTAAGCAAAGTGTTGCATGACACTGCCAAAAACCTTTGGCCAGCTGATCCAGCTGAAAGCAGTGGGTCAGGCTCTGGTTTGACACTTAAGAACATAATTAATGTAGAGCGACCTTTTAATACCCACACAGGAGAACAGGCAGTGTTGGAGACACACGGGACAGTTCGATGTTTCTGAGCACTGAAACTCAAACTGAAAACTACTAAAAGTTGTTAATATGGATGAAATGGATATTACAGATTCTGACTTGTCTCTTTCAGTAACAACTGAATGATCATATGATGGTATTAAAAATTACTAGAAATTTAAGAACTGTTATTTAGAAAAATCACTAATAAAATAACCATGAATCTTCGGTTCCCTAAACTTGTCTAACTGGAGGGGTGTATCATCGGTTGTAGGGTGCTGTGTTTGTCTACGTGATGTTGATTCAGTCACACAGAGAGTTCAGTGACACTGACAGGAGCTGGAGGGTTAAAAAAATAAAACAATTTCAGTTAGTCCACTTGTGGAATGGCTTTTGTATGAAACATTAGTGAAACTTTTTTTAATTCACAAACTAAAATATAAGTTTTTTTTCTTAATCTTAAGAATATTAACAGCATCAACAGCCTCTAAGAATGTACATATTTTCCAGCCCAGCTTGGATCTCCATCAGTTATTCCCAAAGTAATAATAATAATGAAAAACGAAGCCAGGAAGAAAGATTCAAGCCTCACATTTTAGACAATCCACAGTATCAACAAACTAAATTACTCAAATATGTTTTTCTCACCTTTCCAGTTGGTCCTGATAATGCTTTCATTCAGATTTGTGATGATGTCCTCACCACCAGAGAGCTGAAAGACGCAGTCGTACCTTCCCCAGTCTTCAGGTGTGACTGATAATATGCTCAGGTCAGCATTCATCTGGAAGGTCTCATCATTGTTGGGGAGGATTTCTCCAAGATAAACATCTTCATGAATCTCCTCCCCATCTTTCCTCCAGAACATCACGGCTCTGCCAGGATAGAAACCTGTAGCGTGGCAGCTGATTGGAGAGGAGGGAGTCTTTTGGAGGAGAGACACTGATGGAAGAACTGGACAGGAGGAAGATAGAAGTTGTGTAGAGTGAGTGAACGTGGATGAAAGTAGTATTGAAAGTTGAGAAAGAAAAACAGGTAAGGAAAGGAAATGCGAACAGTTAAGGAAAAACGCAATTTGCAGTATTTCCACACGTCATATTTAACTGACATTACTTTAACTTGAGGCTATGAAACAGAAATGTGTTATTTTGTTAAACACCTGCTGGCTCCACAGCTCCACTTGGACCTCTGGTGGGAGGTACCAAAACAAAAGAAATTAGTTTAAGGTTGTCCACTGTGGGAAATCGGCCTCTTCATCGTCTCACATCCTCAGTAGGCAGCACTACCTTCCCCTCCACTGTTCAAGCATTTTGGTTTGACACCAAAACCAAAATGCTGCTGTGTTAACACTAAAGGGGACTCCTGTTACCATCTCCTTACTCCCACTCACTCTCTGCACTCCAACTTTCACACTTCTTTATACTTTAACTTTTCTTACACTCGCAAGCTTTGTCGCCTTTTCCACCTGTTTTTCTCCATTACCCTAGAAGCTAGGGATGGGTATCGAAAACCGGTTCTTGTTGAGAACCGGTTCCCACTTTTTCAATTCCTTGGAATCGTTTGCCACTTTTAAAAACGATTCCCTTATCAATTCCAGTCGCCCCGAATGACGTCATCACGTTGAGTAGCGTCTTTTACCCAGTAGGAAACACAGCGCCTGAGCGGCACAAACGCTCAAAAGTTTGGTTACACTTTATGAGAAAGGATGACAACAGGGCAACGTGCAATACTTGCAAAGTAGAGATTTCATCAAAGGGAGGAAACACTACGAACATGCAAAAGCATTTGCTCAAAAAACACGCGATTGCTTTCAACGAATGTCGTGTTTTTGATCCGCTCCGGACTAGCGAAGCTCAACCCAGCAGCAGCGGTAGCTTTTCCACATCCTCTCCCGTTAATACTGCAGGTAACTAATCAATTAGCATTGCATATTATGTTAGCGCGATTTACCTTATTACAAAACCTGCTATTACTGTGCGTTGCATTTAGATAACCATGATGAGAGAGACAGAGTCTGGCTGGCTCAGATGCTGGCAGTTCTCCCTGCAGTCTACCGGTAGAGTCTCCTTTCAGGCCAGGATAGACGAATGTCACCGAGCAGTGACCAAGTTTGTGGTCAAAGGCTTGCACCCATTTGCTACAGCAGATGCCCCCGATTTCACTTTGGTAAGTGAATGTGTTTAATTGTAGGCAGGACATTACTGGATATTCTTGTGTAATTGCTACAGAATAATTTATGTTAAACTTTGTTATTGCTACAGGAGAATATTTATTTTATTATTTTACATATACATTTTTTTTCCTGGGGACCCTGTGACACCCCATTGAAGAGCCGTAGGCTGTGGATCTCTTAAGATCACACTGTTGGGTTTGTAAGGCCATGTTATTCCTAAATTTCAATCTTGTTCAAAGAGAAGATATAAAACAAAGTTCTAAGCTAATCGACTTTAGTGTTCTCCTTTTTAAAAAAAAAGAATCGATAAGAGAATCGATAAGGAATCGAATTGTTAAACAGAATCGAAAATGGAATCGGAATCGTTAAAATCCTATCAATACCCATCCCTACTAGAAGCTCAACACAAGATGAAGGGATTCCAGCTTTGACTTCTTCACCACATCCTCCCAACTCTTACTGTCTCTATCTTCCAGCCTAGCCTCCTGCTCCTTGTTTCTCTTTCTGTCATTGGCCATCCAGTGTCCACCTCCTCTCACCACCTCCTGCTGCTCATTGACTTCTGTATTACTCCCATATACCTCCTCATCGCTCATCTCCATAACTGCTGTTATAGCTATCCACCTCCTTCCCTATCATGTTAGTCTGCCCAACCCTCCCACACTGACTCCACTTTCCAGCTTCCAAGTCCAAAGTCTGCAATCCAAAATAAGCGTCAATTAATCTGTTCAGATTGATATAAACCAGCATAACAGTCCTCAGCAAAAAATTCCAAACACTCGGGCAAATTTCTCTCAGCCTGGATGTCGCCCCCACCTGTGCATCTCTCCTCTCCAGTATGATAATTTTTCACACTGTCAAGTTGTGAAAATGGCCTGAGCTCTGTTACATATGAGATGATGAAATAGAGCTGAGGTTGTGCTATAATAAAACTGTTTATGATACAGTTGTTCCACATGTTACATTCAGCTGTTATCAAATTAAAATGAGGCTTTGAGTGAAGGATTTTTTATATTGATAAATGCCTGCTGCTTCTGCTCCCCTGAGATCTCTACTGGGAGTAAGACACAACGGGAAGAGTCGGTCGAGTCAATCAGTTGCAGTCTGGAAACGTGAAAAGTAGGGTTGCCTGTCTCCTGTGGCTTTACTTCCCACCTCTGATTCGCTGATTGTCTGCACCTGTGTCTAGTTTCCCTCCTGTGTGATTGTCTGCCACACCCTCACTGGTTTCACCTGCGTTCACTCCACACTGTGTGGATATAGTCTTCTCCCTGAGCCTCACAGGTGTCACACTGTTTTACCTTCTGTGTGACCTTCTGGCGCTCTCCATGTCCTTTGTGCTTTACTTGTTACTGCTACTTTTATTTTTCATCTGTCTGTAGCATCTGTATGACATCCCCCTTTACCTCTCCATATCTCTTTGGGAGGCAAAGTGAGCCAGTAAATATTGTAAAAGTTGAATAAAATGTTTGTGTAGGCAGCATGATCAGAATCTAGCAACTAAAGGGAATGAGAACCTCTTTGGACGAAATCCCTTTTCTCCTGCTTTTTGGTTGTTAGTATAGGTTTGAGAACTGTTGTTTAAACTTTGTTCGGGAATCTTGGGATTGAAAGAATGGAAAATTACAATCCTGTTAAGTCTAGGCTGAGGATGTAATAGTCAACCTATACATTTTTTCAGAGATAACTATTTTTATACATATATTTTAACATAAACTACTGCATATAATACAAAAACACTGCAGACTACTGCATCCATGAAAATGCTTTGGGTCATGTAATTTTACCTTTTCTCTGCAGGGAACTTCTTGAAGTGTTCCAAACTGTCTTCAGCCAAGTTGGACAAACCACATTGAAAAAGTATTGAGCGTTTCTCAGGTCAGCTCTCTCAGCATCCCATCTTATTTTGGTATTGACAGCCTCTGGTTTCAGTGCGATCCATGTTGATAGGTTTGTAGCATAAACCTATTCGCTGGAACGTTAAGACAATATAATTACACTGCAAGCAAGACACAAATAGGCAAAGTTCTTCATGTTACTCGTGCATGGGAGAGAACCGGACAACCGCTTGACTCCAGTTGGTCTCGTCCGTCCTCCCGTAACACTGTCTTTTTATTGAGGTTACATGAATATGCATAGGTTCATTAACATACGACATCTACATACAAACAAAGAGTACCTTGCCTGTGTGTGTGTGTGTGTGTGTGTGTGTGTTGTGTGTGTGTGTTGCTGATCAAAGGGTCAAACATCCTTGGTCAGGAAGAGGGTAGACTAGACCCCCCCCGGTGAGGAAGTCCAGCAGTTCATCTAAACAGAAAAGCACTTAGACTAGAACAGACGTAGCTACATTAATCCTACCATAAAACAATTAAAACAAGATGCGACCTCTTCCCGTGCTCCCAGGATGTAGGTGTGCATTCTAGTGTGGAATGCACACCAAGCCTCTGTAGCCTGTTAAAGATCACACAACTTATCACTACACAATTGATTATACACCTCTAAGCATCTATGGTTAAATATTTCTAAGCATAAAACAATTAAAACAAGATGCGACCTCTTCCCGTGCTCCCAGGATGTAGGTGTGCATTCTAGTGTGGAATGCACACCAAGCCTCTGTAGCCTGTTAAAGATCACACAACTTATCACTACACAATTGATTATACACCTCTAAGCATCTATGGTTAAATATTTCTAAGCATAAATGACAATCAACAATACAAACTCTAACACATGTCAGTGTCTTTAGATCAAGCTCAATAAAGTCCTCTCCATCATACCCAAAACGTGTCAGTCCGGTCACCTTGCCAGTGGTTTCATCCCATTCACAGCCATCTATCCTCTGTAAAAAGTGGACACCTGAAGAAAGAGAAAGAAAACACACACTAAAATGAACCTGTTACTATTATTCATTTTGTGAATCACTGCTATTTTTCAAGGTTTGAGCTATGCTCAGATCTGAGCTGATCTGTCAACTTTTTATTAGCATGACTAAAGGAAGATAGCTGAAATGCTGTAACATGTACAAATTAACTTGATGTGATACCTCAAAAATAAAAGATGAAGGACAAGAGACAGAAACTAATTTAACCCAGGAGTAGACATCTAGATGACAAATTATAAGAATCAGAACAACTGTTAAGATACAATTGTTAAGCGCAGGACAAACAACAGTGATTATAAGTGATTGTTTTATCACAGTTTTAAGTATGTTCACATCTACAAGGTTTGATGATTCCTGGATTCAGTGGAGAAGTAAATTTTTAAGACTTAAGATCTTTAATTAGAAAATTAAAAAAAACCAAAATTAATTTACTTAAATCATTTTTGTGTAGGTATTTGTATAATTTGTACTGACTGGTGTAAGGAATAACATAAAATATCACACCTCCAGTTTGGTTGAAATCCTGCTTCACAGTGGACATTGTATCTGTGAAGAAAGGTGGCAGATTCTCAAAGCACACATGAGTGTAATACTGTAACTGCCGAGGGTCTTTGTCTACTATTTTCTTCGCCCAGTCCTGTTTTATTTCCAATATCCTGTTTCTGAGGTCACAGTAACCCGCCTCGACGCCATCAACCATCCCAATACCCATAAACTCTGAGATGTTTGGGTTTCCAGAAGATGCCGTGATGAAATACTTCAGTGAGTGTCTCTCTGTGGGGCGAACAATGTTTATATTGTTAGTATATAAGTCAATAAAACATACAAATATAGTGTGAAATGTGATGCATTCAGTATGATTTGGTGAACGCATTCTCGTATGAGAATCAGTAAAAGTGATGTGAGTAGGTGTGTGTGTGTGTGTGTGTGTGTGTGTGTGTGTGTGTGTGTGTGTGTGTGTGTGTGTGTGTGAGCATGTAAGGACACAATGTGACAGAAGAAAATCTTAATGTTATTTATATTTTGACAAAGATGTGGATGAAGTTGTTAGTTAACTGGAGTATTAAAGTGGCTTCATTCAGAATAAGACATAATTGCAACTATACAAACAATTTATTTACATTTCACAATCAAATATCACAGACTGTTGGGATCAGAGGGCATGTGAATGTGATTGGCTGCTGAGTGAAACCACCTCTACGGCATATTTGGTTCCACTGGACTCTGACTAGCTGATAGGTAAATAATAAACCTCTGTGAGTAAAGAAAATAAAAGTTTTCCCTTTTCTGAACTACAAAAATATTGATAATAATCAGCCTAAATCTTTAAAAACTACTTTAATGAGATAAATCTGATTTGAACCTTTTATATAAGAAAACCTGACTTCTTTCACACTTTTTACATCAAACCTTTTCATCTGTATCATTTATGATAGTAATGAAAAAGAGTTGTGACACCAGTAAAATTCATACACATGATAAAATATATATTTGTCCTGTTTTATATTCTCATAAATTGATTAAATGAGCATTGATACAGAGTCTATGAACTACCTACAAAAGCAAAACAAACATGCTGCTGTTTACAGATTTGATTAAATGGGGGGTTTTTTTACCTGCAAATACAGCAGGGCAGAAGAGAAGCAACATAAATAACTTCATCCTTTCTGTATGGTTAAAGCTCGAGGATTTTCAGACCTTGAAAATATGATGGACTTGACTTGGAACTGTGCTAGATTCAAACCGTCACCCACCAGATCAACTCTCTGATGAAGTAAGTCCTCCAAACTAAACAATTATATTTGCTCTTACTCTCAGACGGCCCACAGTTTCCAGCCAGCTGTGGGCTCCACCTACAGCTGGCAGAAGAAACGCAAAAGGGAGATTATTTTCACTTATATCATGTCGTCTTTAAGCTGTCTTTGTTTTTAGTTCCCACAGACTTTTCACTGTTAAGAGATGGCGTGTCATTTTGCAACCAACTTTTTATCAATGCTCTATGCTGAAATAAAAAGCCCCAAGCAGGCATGGGTAAGGACAAATCTCTGAGCAAGTGACAGAAAGATGTCAGAAAGCTTGTTGGGACTAAAAGAACTGAAAGGCTCTGAACAGCAGTGGAGTCAAATGATGGATACTCGGCTCCCCTCAGCCGTGTAGATGCAGAAAGTAACAGAAGGTATGGAGTTTGCATGAGTTTAGCTGCTGTTGTTATATGACAAATCTGTAACTAGCAACACTACAAGAGAGTCCAGGCAGGATTAATAATTTAAAAAAAAAACGGAATAATTGAAAATTACACATTATTCCTGTGTCCAGTCACCTGAATTCAAAGTACATATGGCATAAATTTACTGATACACTTATACAGGTCTTTCTGTAATCTTCTATTATCCAGCTCACACTGAGACCATTCTTTCCTCCTCTTTCAATAAGTGTGATGTGTTTTTAGTGAAGCTTTAGTCCTCATAGGATTAGAGTATGGTACGTGTCATGTTTATAGTATACTGTCGTCTTACATTTTTACAGATGTAGTGATTATTGACAGATGTAAAAATGTTAATGCTGTGGCAAAAACCTGCCCATACTGCAGCACAGGGCAAGCATACCAGGCTCATGCAACTGAACTGAAAACCTTAAGGTCCTTGAAGGGCTCACAGACGTAAGCCATTAAATGAAAGATAAACTTTTTCTTTCCATTTGTGAAATGAAAGTCATCTACCAAGATGTATATTTCAATTTTCTCATTTGAGCCTGTTTGACCTTTTTTTTTTTCTTAAAAATAACTAAACAATTCACTTTCAACTCTTTAAGATGGAAAAAAATCATGTGCCACAATAAAAGAAATTATTTATCATTGTTTTATCATTTGGTTGTGTCATGGAACAGCTGTGTGTTGCAGGAAAAGGACCCAAACATAATAAATAAATAAATCAACAATAATAATAACAAACAAAACACTGGGTCATTGCAAATGCAAAACTCTCGGAAAAAGAACTGAACTCAAAGATCACTGCTTTATTTCAGGCATAACAACAATACAGAATACAACAGTAGATTGGGAATGCTAAACAGAGACACAAGGAAACACAGGGAAACACACACACACAGTTCCAGGGATGAGACATTGACAACTAAGCACAGAGAACACAAGGCTTAAATACAAAGGCAGTAACAAGGAAAGGAGAGACACAAGAGAAGCACGGCTGGGAGCAATCCAACCTGACAAGAACCGAGGGAAGCAAAACAGAATGCATTAATCTGAGACACTGACCTTCAAAGTAAAACAGGAAACACACAGACTGAACACAGACAAACACAGAGACATGGGACCAGGGCGGGCAGAAACACAGAACAGAAGTTGCTCAAAATATAACCAGAACCCAACCCCAAAGAACATGAAAACAAGAATTAACCTTAAGAACAAGATAATAATAACCAAAACCAAAACCACTGAGTCACAGACTCAGGACCATGACATTAACATGTAGCTCAAACATATGAATGTTTTATAGATAAAAGGTTTTGCACATCAATACAGAATATTTCTGAATACATGAAAAAGTAAGGAGAGAATGTCTCCGTGTTTAGAAGACATTAAATGTTCAAATAATTATAAAAGGTTACGGTAAGTGTGAACTGGGCTTTATGCCAAAGCAGACCCAGAGTGATTTATAAGCCATCTGTCCCATGCAGGTGATATGACCAATGATCAGACATAACATATAAATTCTCTAACTGAATGTAAACGTCAAATTCATTGCATGAAACGATTATACATGTAATGCATGAATTATTATACATTAGATTTAATAAAGGGTGACAAATATTGGACTGTTAACTACACAAAAAGTAAACATATAAACATCCAGAAGAGGTAACACCCCTAAAGTTAAATGAACCAAGATAAATTATATTTTTGAAATGATACTATATCAATATTTGAGCTTCATTTGAGGCACATACATTTATTGCAGTGTGTGCCTTTAAAATAAACAACAAAAAACGTTTTATGATGTATCATGTTACCTGTTGGGTATTCTGATAAGTACTGTATATAAAATGTAAAACTTTAAACTGTGGAAGAACTGAAACAGCCAGAGCAAAGTCATGCAGAGCGCAGAACTGCGTGAAGGATGGTCATGTTTGTGGATTTAGTGTCTCAGACTGTTCAGAGGCATTGGCAGGAGCTGTAAGAACAAAAAGATAAAACTGATATTTTCTATAATGTACAGTGATTGATGATTTCTGTTAGCAAACACACTAGCTTTCTAGCTAAACATGCAATAAAGAGTCAGGCAAGCAGAAATATGAATTGGGGAAGTCACATTATCAAGAAGCATAAATATCACATGCTGTGCATGGTGGAACATGAGGGAAAGTACCACCAAGAAAAGAAATTTTACCGCAACAATCACGAGCTGTTTCAGTTTTTGTTTTTAACTCACACCGAGAAATGATTGGCAGACACATGACTAAAGGTCACATGACACAAAATCTCATCACTACTCCTTAAAAGCATTAAGCATCACAGGAACACGAAGCTTGTTTTTTGAAGTGTGCTTTTCATTCTAAATGCCAGCAGTAATATGTTCTACGCTGTTCCACATGAGCAAACTCTTTTCCTCGAATGTAGTTCACAGGTAGAGATTTCAATAATTTGTGTTCTGCACAGCAATGAAGATCAGCTCTGTACTTATCTATTACACTGATGCTTCTCACATTATCAGTCAGGTGTCATATATTAATCTCTCTGTGGCTCTGAAACGTAAACTCTTATATATATACACGTATACGCTACTCTTTCAGGCTGTACGTGTTTGGAACTAATGTTAAATGTGTCAGTATGGACTAAAACACAAATTCAAAAACTAAATGTAATGTTTCACCAACTGAGATCACTCACCTTTCTTTCTTTTGTAAGCGACAACCGCCACAGCTGCAACAGGTGCAATGAGGACGATAGCTAGAACAACCGCTGTAGCTATAATGTGAGCGGGCTTCCCTATTGAACAAAATGTGGAAACACTTTAGTAATCCCACACATTTTTGCTCTGTGTTATAAAGAACAAGTGAGGAATGACTCAGTAAGGACCTCATAGTTGATGCATCTGACAAAACTGGAGGCAACAGAAAACCATTAAAACTCAGTTAATACTCCAATGTACTTAATCTTCTTGTGCACGCTGAAGATAAACCATACTTATAGTATTTCATTACTTTTTGCTTACTTCAGTTATCTACCATTTGTGTTCCATTTTAAGTGAACCATCTTACTGATTTGTTAGTAATTGTTCTTTATGAATTGATAATAGAATTGTTTGATTGGATTGGTGAACACCAGTGTGACAAAGGTCAGCTTATCCAGCATCATCTCAAGAAACTTAATATTTTATTGTAAAACCCTTACACCATTATCAAGACTTGATAACACTCAATTGATCGTATATGTTAAAAACAGCTTTTAACAGGAAGAAACCTCCAGCAGAGAACATTAGACAACAGATGTTGAAGCTGGAGGTGCCACCAGAAGGAAAAGGAAAATTGATGTAGTGAAGGAGGACATGCAAAGGGTTGGTGTGACAGAGTATTCACTTTTTAAAATCAATGGCTACTCTGTAAAAACGATTCATAACCATTGCTGGATCCAGACTTACCCCAGTTGGTCCTGATCACTGTTTTGTCCAGTTTGGTGACAATGTACTCGTTTACACCAAAGAGCTGAAACACACAGTAATAACTCTGCCAGTCTTCAGGTGTGACTGATGAAACATTCAGATCAGCACTCATCTGGAAGGTCCCATCATTGTTGGGGAGGATCTCTCCTAGATCTACACCTTCATGGAGCTCTTCTCCATCTTTCCTCCAGAACATCAAACCTCTGTCAGGATAGAAACCTGTAGCGTGGCAGCTGACTGGAGAGGATAAAGACTTCTGGAGGAGAGACACTGAAGGAAGAACTGAAAAAAGATAAAGCTAGGAAGGTTTTACATTGTCTTTGAATTGTCATATAATTTTTTTTTATTTTTCTACACCAGATTCTTTAATTCTACCTGGTGTCTGCAAAAAGTTTTTCCCATACTGAACATACTTCTTCAAAAACTCAGGGCATTCGTGGACATAAAAGTTCTTATTGCATTTTAATTGATCTTCTTCACCATCCCATCTCAGTTTGGTGATGACAGCCTGTGGTTTTAGAGCAATCCATGTCAGTCGCTGCGGGTCGAATGTTAGAAAGTCTTCTCCATCATAACCGTACTGATTGAACGCATTAATCTGTCCAGTCTCATCATCCCAGTTACAGCCAGTCATACTCTGGAAAATATGAACACCTGAAAAAAGACATAGTGACAATAACTGCAGGAAACCAGTGAGATGTGAGCATTACAGAAACAAAAATAGAGGGACATACAGTTACTGGCACATAAAACAGTCTATCAACTAATGGACACTGTGGAAGGTTCACCTTTTTCTCTGCTTCATTCACTGTTCTTATTTTCTTTTCTTCTTTTCTCTTCACGTGTGCGTGAAGTAGCAGATCACATTATGTTATTTTCAGTGTTGGGTAAGTTACTTTAAAATTTTGACTTAGTTACATTACTAGTTACTTCTATCAAAAGTAACTCAGTTACTTCAAGTTACTTGTTACTTTCAGAGTAACTAGTTACTAGGGAAAGTAACTTTGGTTTTACTCAGAATTCTCTTGTTAATGTGTTGCTTCCATAACTTTGCCAGTCTTCTAGCTTGCTTACTTGCCACAAGTGCACTGTGCCACCTACCAATAGAAAGGGAAAGATAATGTGCATATTTCCACGAGAGAAATCCCACGCCTGGACCGTCATTGACAGCTGCCATGATTCTAGCCTACATCACAGCGTCATGTGCGCTTTTTACATCCAACACAAAAACTGTAGTCGTGGTGCTTTCGATTGTACTCAGAACCCGGAAATTCTGCCTTCTGAATAGGAAGATGTAGGTAACACCAGACTGCAGATGAGCTGCATACAGAGCTGGACTGGGACAGAAAATCAGCCCAGGTGTTTTGACTAGAGACCAGCCCACCATTATAGGAAAAATCATAAAGCCTTTGAATGAAAATAAACACTGTTGTGACAGTGATGTACACTGTTCTGATGGTATATATGTATCAATCTATCAATCGATCAATTGTTTGTTGTAAGATTCAGATAATTATTTTTTAAAAGCGAGACATTTTAAATGAGAATAAGATAGAAAAGTATTTCTTTGTGCCCACCTCTCCCTGTTAATGCCATACCTGGCCCCCTGGCAAAACTTTGCTAGATCCGCACCTGCACAGTTACCAGCTGTCAGCTACCTAAAAAAGGATCCTGGTGTTATTTGTCTCTCAGAAACAGTTCATAACTTCCCTTCAACTCATTCATGTCACCTAAAATGTAAACCTGTTTCTCCATCACAGCTCTGATGATCCAGTAAGGACATCTCCTGGTTTCATCTTCATGTTTCCCTCTCACCAGATAACCAAACCATATCATGACCAGCAGATTTTTTGCAGCTGTGGCTCCAGCAAACATCAGCTGATACTAGAAATTAATATTAAATAAATTCTAACAACAGCTGATCAAGCTTAAACGTGCTGCTGTTGTTTAGCGCGACATTTCCTGGTTTCCTCTTTCGGCGCAAAGTGGGCGATAAACAAACAAGAGAGCCGATCAGCTGATCAGTTTTCATGATTGAAGTAGAAACGGGAGAGAGAGGGGGGAGAATGAGAGAAGAAGAGGCAGCTGTGCATCGTAAAGACACAGAATAACTCCAGCTTTGTGTCTTTTTTATTGTAGCTGAATTACGGGACAAACTGTTCCTTTTCACCTCAATAAGAAACGCGTAATATTTTCTCTGAATACCAGACGGGACGGTTGGCAACTCTAATAACTTATGAACAAAAAAAAGTTCAACATCATTAACTTCATAGCACCCACCCAGCTGTATAGAAACTCCGTCATGCTAGCTAGTACGCAGTACGGAAAAAGTCAGAATAACGAAAATAAACTCCACCTAAACTTGGTTTATATCTGACCCAGAGAGACTGCAGGTCATAACTTCTTACCTGAAGTTCAGTTCACACTTGGACCGGCGGCCGCCTCGGGTCTCTTTTCCTTCTGCGTCCCCTTTTCCCTCATCCACCTGCTGGCCTCCACCACTTGCTAATGTTACTGAATCTGTGGAAGCTCCGCGATAGCCACCACACGAAGTAACGAGTAACGACCCTATCTAAATCCCAGTAACGAGTAACGCGTTCCTGATTTTGGCATAATAACTAGTTACCGTGCTCGTTACCACAATAATAACGTAGTTACTGTAACGTTAGTCCCAACACTGCTTATTTTACATTCTATATCTAACCCTAATCTAATAAACTTTTAGTTTTTTATTTTAAACCAAAACCACAACGAAAATAAATTCTGCTGCAACAAATGAAACAAATTCTTACCTTCGGTTTGGTTGAAACGTTTCCTCAAATTCTCAATGTAATGTTTGAATAAGTGTTGGACATGCAAAGAGCGAGCAGTGTACCACTCCAGGTGCTGAGGATCATCCTTCATGAGTTTTTTCATCCATTCTGTTTTGGGTTCTGGTCGCTCTGTCCTGCTATCATAGTAACTTTTCTGAACTCCATCAACAAGTCCAACCACCACAAACTCCGGAATGTTCTGGACTCCAGATGTTTGACAGAAGAAAAACTTCAAGGAGTGTTTCACTGTAACAATAATCAGACTTTCAGTTAGGTGGCATTGCAGTTCTATACAGTGGCTTGCAAAAGTATTCGGCCCCCTTGAACTTTTCCACATTTTGTCACATTACAGCCACAAACATGAATCAATTTTATTGGAATTCCACGTGAAAGACCAATACAAAGTGGTGTACACGTGAGAACTGGAACGAAAATCAGACATGATTCCAAACATTTTTTACAAATAAATAACTGAAAAGTGGGGTGTGCGTAATTATTCAGCCCCCTGAGTCAATACTTTGTATCCATATATTAACCAAAACAGAGAGAGGGAGAGAGAGAGAAAGAAACCGAGCCGTTTAAATTTAAACAGTCTTTATCTGATCTATATCGTCGGTCTGACCTCTATTCTGTGGAAAAAATGTCAACATCTGTCCGTCGATGTCGATAATTACGTTTTTTTCTTTCTTTTTTCTTTTTTCAAATGTTGATTTATGGTCTGTGATTTATGAAAGCAAATGTACAACATAAAACTGTCCGCGGTCTGTCTCCTCTCAGTAAAATCGTATTTTCATTCAGATGTAAAAGTGAAGCTGAAGACAGTGAAAGTACAAAGAGAGATCAAATTTCCAAATAAAATATCAATAACGTGGACATAATCTTACCTGATGACGCAAACTGACAGAGGAAAAGCAACAATAACAACCTTCCCATCGTAGCTTCATTTGGATTATACCTTTAGGACCAAAGCAGTGAGTTATTGTTCTAATTTAGCCCAGGCTTCTCCCATTTGGCAGCAATGACTGTATAAAAGATATACAGTCATATTTTATACAGTCATTGTTTGGCAGAGGTAACGTTGACATATCGTCCTGAAGTGGATGTGAAACATCACATCCCGTCCTCGCGGCTGCGGTAGAGAGCCGCCTACGAGTCAATTAAAAAACACGTGTGCTTTATTAAAAATGAAAGCTTTATGTTACAGTATCAGAACAAATTTATTTTGCTGTAATACTTTGAAACTAAAGTTTTTTTAACTTGATTTTGAGTCCTCTGAAATAATAATAGCAACCCAGATTTAAAACAAATGCTGTCTTAAATCTGATAAATGTATATTATTTCCTGTTTTAAAACGGAATGCAATAATTTTTCAATTTTATTGTATTTAAAACAGAAGAACATAAACTATATTAAATGCTTAAAGGAACACATTTTACTGTTTTATGTAGAATATTACCCCAATTTTAAATATAATGACAGCTATACCATATCATACATTTTGTATGATACAAAGTGTGAGTCTGATTAAAATATGACATCAATTTTAGATGAAGCTTTGCACATATGTAGGGGAGACCGGGGATAGTTGTAACGTGGGTCAGTTGTAACACTTCCAATTTCTCCAATCAGGGCTAAGTTTCAAATGATGTGACTCATCCTGTGCATGCCCAACTCAGTTCTGCTATCACATGTGAAAAATCAGCACATTTTGTCAAACACAGACAATTTAACATCAAAAAAAGTAATTTGTATGCCAAAAAGTAAGTTTTTCTACTTTATTTCAATGTTTAATAGCATTATCTGCTTTGCAGTTAAAGTCATCAAATTTAAATTATGTTATTTGTATGTCTATGGGGATATATTCTGTGTAGGTCTTTAGTGCTAGTGTTTTAGCCGTTGGCTGTAATGTTAGCTATTTCATGGCTATAGGAGTCTGGGTCAGTTGTAACAGCAACAGTCTGGGTTAGTTGTAACAATAATGCAGATGTTACAACTTACCACACTATTACTTTAACTTAAATTAAACAAGTTGGGGCAACGACATCAGCAGAGAGAGGTTCACTGGTCGCTTTTGTATATGCGGTTAATGCCATTGGCAACACAATTACTTCACTGTTTGTGTTCCCACACATACATTATGCAGACCACTGTGTCAGAGATGGACCAGTAGGAAGTACTGGTAGTGGAAATAAATCAGGATGGATGCAAGAAACAGATTTCCTCATCTTTCTGAAGCACTTTGCAAACCACACCAAGGTAAGCCATGATAAAAAGTAATGGAATTGCGGTGCTGGTGAACAACTATATTTTTTCAGCTTCATTGTTATGTTCAAAATTGGTGCAAGAGTTGTAGGTTATAATGCCCACTGAGCCAATGAGGCCAAACTCAAGGAAGACCAACCAAAATTAATGAAATATTCAGTTGCAGAAAATTCCATAATTTGTCTTTTTTGGGGGGTTGGAATATGTTCAAAAGCTAGATTTCTGCATTCTGTCACACACACAAATAGCTACATTAATGGCTCTAAGTGCATTCATGTGTTGAATAAACAAAGATTACATGTTAATATTTTGTCAGTACCCTTATTTCATTGTGTTACATTTCACCCCAGGATATGTTACAACTAACCCAGACTATGGGGTTAATTGTAACATTTCACTCTTCGTGTTTGAGACCATACCATGCAATGGGTAATTGTGCTGCAGAGAAAATAGCTGCACTATTTAATAACCGAGACATGTAAATACTTTGCATTACATTTTGAATCCACTACCTTAAAAGAGCTCCAATTTACAGACAGAAATGTCAAAAATGTTACAACTATCCCCGGTCTCCCCTACTCTGAGTGACCCAAAAGAAGAATGTACTGAGAATTTCATGTCAACTATCAAGGGTTAATTTTAATGATTTTAATGATTTTGAAAATGCAACAATAACAAAACAATGACAACTGAGGATACAAACAGACAAATGTGGCATGCTATGGAAAATTCTAATTTTAGTTTCATGTGTTTAGAATCTCACTTGTATAACTGCCTGCTTAAGATGAACCAAGTATGTGTCAGCTTGAGCTTGTGAAAACTGCTCAGCCTGTTCTTTCGATGTTTCACTATATTATCTGCCAACCGTCTTGCTCAGTTTGTGCGATGTTATAAAAGGGGCGCTGCTACGCCCTGAGGTTAGAACGCTCATTACTAACCTGTTATGTTTTGATGTGTATGCGTGTTCTCCTGCGCGCAGTAATAAATAGCTTGATCACAGCTCTTTCCGTGTTGCAGACGTTAATCACAAAATTACACGACAGACAGTACATACCACAAGAAAACAGAGAAGTGAAAACTCCTAACAGGAACCCAGGGACATAACCAGACAAGAGTATAACAGATCTGTTAGCTGTAGGTCACATGACACCATAAAAACAAGCTTTCGCTTTCTGTGATGCTTAATGTTTTTAGTGAGTAAAGAAAACTGCAGTCAAAAAGATCATGTGTGTGATTTGCATGTTAAATGGCAGCATTTGTTCTACACTGTTTCACATAAACCAAACTCTTTTCCCAAAAAATTATTTAAAATATCGCACAGCTAAGGAATTCAAGTTTATGTTTTTAACAGCTATAGAGACCGACCTGCAGCTCTTTACTTATCCATGACATAGATGGAAAACTGGAGTTAGAAGATATTATCATTTCATTTATACATCATCAGTTTACTATCATGCAGTCATTTCACTGTGGCTCTGAGTTCTGTACTGCTATTTCAGGCTATGAGTGTTTGGAACTAATGTTAAATTTGTCAGTATGGATTAAAGTAGAAATTCAAGTGGCCCCATTGTGGCCATTCATACTACACCAAAGTAAATAGATAAACAATATAAAAAATAAAACACATAAAATTTCCTGGGTTTTTTTAGTATGTGAATTAATTCAATTTGATTCAATTCAGTTTTATTTATAAAGCACCAAATCACAACAACAGTCAGCTCATGGCACTTATATTCTAAGGTAGATACTACAGTAATATTTACAGAGTAAATAATCACATAAATCCTTAAGAGCAAGCACAGTGGGATGGAAAACCTCCCTTTAATAGAAGAAACCTCCAGCAGAATGGGTTTGATATCTGTAGTTAATGAATGTACCTGGCAAAACTGAGTATAAAAAATCCTTTTTAACAGCAAGAAAATTTCAGCAGAACTAAAATCCGGGAGGATAATCATCTGCTGCGACCAGTTTGGGTGTAACAGGAAAATGTAGAGACAAAAGATAAACTGGGGAAGATTAGAGATCCCAGACAGCAGACTCCATTGCCATGATGTCAGTATTACGCAAGATTGTAGTTAGTATATTGGGCATAGTTTGTGCATTGCAGCATGACATCAGGATCAATATGTTGCTGAAGCATAGGCTGGATGTAGGGAATAGAGGGAGAGGTCTGATGGAAGTGAGGAGACAGGTGTGGCCTCTGTGAGTTTTCAGTTAGTTGTTAATTGTCTATTGATAACAGAGCGTGAACCTGTTAACAGAGGAAAAAGTACTCAGGTCTCTGCTGTCTTCAAGCTGCTTCTCTCGGCATTGACTGTGACTTTGTTAATGCTAGATCATAAAGTTAATTTTTGAGACCACGGTCTCCTGTTGCTGATAGCAGCCTGTTTGGGAGCTAGCTGATATGTGAGAGTATTGGGCAGATTAAGTATTTCATGCCAGCATTCCCCAACAATAAAAGACAAATTGTCATTAAAGAAAAGATTTTCCAGCAAAGTCCTTGATCTGTTGTGACCCATCTTAGAGTCCTTGAGTTTGTACTCATAGGAAGTCGCTCCATCTACAACAGTGTAGATAAACTGTGCCTGACAGGGAGGCACAAGGGTCTCCTCTGCTGCTTTCCTATTGTTCAGGTAAACTGCCAGTTACATTCTTCAGGCAAATTTGGGAAGTGATCTCAGACCTCTGATGCCGTCAGAATTCAGCCAGTAGCTTTCAATAAAAGGTTAAATATATGAAAATAAGTAAGATGAAATATGAGTTATAGATATATAAAACCTCACTGCTGATGCCGAACGAACCCTGAAGAATTTATCACAGTGTCAAAGTTACTAAACATTACCGTTAATGACTTTGCTTGTAACGTCTCTTCATGGATGAAGTGAATCTGAAAACACTCCCAGTATGATGCTTTAAAAAAAAGATCTCCAATCCAACAGAATTGCCTAGAATATGTAAAATGTTATAATGTTTTTGCTGTTTTTAGTACAAAAACAAGCTGTCTCAGTCACCATGTATTGATCAGCCCGATCAGTTTAAACCTGCTATCAGTCATCTCCTGCTATTCATTATCAGCTGCTTTCTGTTTTCATGAACACACTCAGTTTCACTGCTCTCACTTCATCATTTTCCCCCTCCTGGTGTCAGAAAACCGATGACTTTAAAAAACAGTTGAATGTATCAAAGTAGAGACAGCTCAATGACCCACTCACTCTCCATGGCCTCATTATAAATCACTTTAACGAAAATTCATGTGAGGGTAATACTCCTAACACCTTAATGTGGGGACTTTAATATAAGTACATTCTGAGTTGAAGTATCCCACATGTGAATAAAAATATTTTTAAAAGCCTCTGAATATGCGAGAGAAGCTCACAACCTGATGATGTCAGAAAGTTCAAACAATGATTTATAGTTGGTGTGAAGGAGCATCTTAATTCAAACAGAAAAGTGTTATTGGTGTGATGACTAATGAAGACAGGAAACCACAGAAACACAAAAACTTGTAATATGTAATGCTGAAGTTAAAGGTTATTTTGATCAGTGTTCTTTAGGGTTATTTAAAAGTATTTCCTTGGACATTAAAAGCAGTTTATAGAGTTAACCTGTAGGAAGACTCCATGTCCCTCAGGTTCGAATTAATCATCCCCTTTTGGGCTGCAAATGTACTGCAGAAGGGCCACAGTAATAACAGAAATTCAGTTTGACTTCACCTCACACTGTCCTCATACATTTCCTGCACTGCCCTCACATACTTCTCTGCCACTCTTCACATCCTCATATTGTTTCTCTCTTGGCACAACAGAGTCATGTATAGAGTTACTTAGATAGTTTGGCCTACATAAACATAAACATAGACAAACAGAGCTGAAAAAAATTGAAGTTGGGCCTGTTCATACAATACAAACATCCAACCGAGTACTAATTTACAGGAAATGTACAGCAACCTGTGCACCAGTGGTCTATAAGACATCACGTTACATGTGGAGAAGTTTAATCAGTAGTATTTATAAAGTATAAAAACATTAAGCTGTGGAAGATACAAAATACAGCCAGAGTCAAACGGTCATTTTGAAGAGTGGGTGGCAGGGAATATGGAGAATATCATATGACACAAGTCACTCAAGAAAAGTGTGACTCACACAGAGAAGTGAAAACTGCTACAGAAACCCAGGGTCACGAGTAACTGTTAACTCATGTTCACAAGTAAACTACATAGTAGTCGTGTTTAAATGCTCACTGGTTGCATCTATCTAAATGTGCAGTGGAAGGTAAATTAAGTTTATAGATATAAATACAGATTTATTCAAAAGGAGTAAAATGATAACTTTTTTCCTTAAAATAATAACTAATAATAACTTTTTTAAAATCTAGAAACACATAAAGTCATGACACTCATTCTAGATGCACAGTAGCACCTTTGGATATTTTGCTTTTGATCTGTCTTTTAAGGCTTTATGTCTGTTTTTATGGTATTTTAAGCATTTTAAATCACTTATAATATTTCTGTTTCTAAACTATATTGTTTTTTTTAATTTAGCTTTCAATTATGAGAGATAATAAATCTCATATCCATCACATCCAATGACAATAGCAAGTGTCTATTCTCTCTTGAGTGCAGGTATTTGAGTGTGAGTCCTCTTGTACTCCTGGTTTAACTGTCTGGTGCATTTAAAGGGTTAAAGCTGAATCCACTTCTTCCCACTTTCTACTCATATCTGTTTCCACTGTTTTGCTTTGTTTTTAGAAGTTTTTATTTCTTTCGCCTCGCTGTCCCTCGTATTATTCCCTTCATAAACTTTGGTAAGTGACAGCTTTCAGTGGTTCTCTGTTCTCATCTCTCTCTGATGATTTAATTGGATTAGGCTCCTGTGGTGGGGCGTGGTCTGCGGTGCCATGCAGGGAGGGCGGACGCACCTGCACGGCATCCTTAATCACGCCCGCCTAGTTAAAAACACGGGGACTCAGGGGTTTGGGTGTGTTGTGGTGTGACAAATATTGAATAAAATGGCTCAAACCTATGATCCCTGGACCCGCCGTGTCTCAGTCACACCACAGCTCCTTAAAAGGCTTTTTACAGCTCTTTAGTAATATAAAAAAGACTCTTGACAAAGTACACAATGAGCTTGAAATAAGGAGGTGTTTGCATAAAAAGAAGTCCTCTGACAAATCAGCACGTGGCATGTGAAGCCTACTCTAACCCTACTGCTGAAATAAATGTTACTTAAAACATTTATTTCACTGTATTGCGTCTTTTTATTTTTATCTTATACTTATACTTTTATTTAGTGTCACCTGCTACTGGATGCAGTCAAATCATGTTAGATATGTTATGATATGATATGATATCTTTATCTTTATGATATCTACCAGATTATTTACTGTTTTTAGTCAATGAACCCAAATCTACATCGTCAATCCAAGATGGCGCCAGTGTGCACGGCATGCTGTCTGGTATTATACTTTCTCTGTGCTGCCATGATGTCTTTGCGCTACTTATCTATGATGAAACTCTTTGAATCTTTGGCCGTTGAATCACAAAACGCCTGATTTGAAATGGAAACCAGAGAATTTTCCTCCGCTTCCAACAGACATTTCTGACTACATACGCCGCCTACCATTTACCCTTCCATACAGGAAACACTTAACTACATGGGGTAAACGGGGTTATATCCATGTTTGCATCAAGGCTTACCTAAATTCACATGAAGTGATTAATCATCATGCACTTATGGATATTCTACCTTCTTCCCCTGCTCTCTGGGACCATTCTAGCTTCAGATTGTTCTGTCATGACCAGATTTGCCCTGGTGGACTTCATGCTCACTTGGACCTACCGTTTGAGCTTCCACCTATTCAGAGTTGGGTGCGGTCCTTCACGCGTCGTGGACACGCGTTGAGGTGCGAATTTGTACGCGTCAAGTTAGAGGCGTCTGGCATGTTTCTGGTCGCGTCTATCGCGTTCGGTGTGAACACACGGTTATGGTATGACCGTGTTTTAATTGTTGACAATTTCAACATCCATGTTTGTTGTG